TGCAACTACGAATACGGTGCAACAACACCTTCCGAAGATGGTGTAACAATACACCATGAAGACAGTGTCTTTCTCCGGGCTCCTAAAATTCTCTTGTTACAACCCTCCATTGCGGCCCACGTGACCATGTACGACCTATATGGTCTACAGCTTATGCCGCTCCCAATTTCGATCTCTAGGGCCTACCGACTTTATTGTAGCTCACCACTATGACTTGACCAACTATTGTTCGTGTGGGTCACAACTTTTGTAGCTTCCTACTACATTCTTTGTGTCCAGCTGTCACTCCTGAAGTAACGAACTTCCACCATGACTCTAAATTAGGGCTTGTACGACAAGCTGATGCTACAACCACCATATACAACATTCATAACAGACTACTATCTTCATAGCAATCGACTGCGGCCCATGTAGCCTGTTATCATCGAAAACTACGTTCATTAAAGGCAAACTAAAATGATTATCAATGAGGCATTGTTGTATATTCTCAATGATCAACTTTCTAGCTCCATCTTCCCTAATTCAAAAGAGTAGATCTGTGCATTCATCATTTATAGTGGAGATTGTTTTATTTTGGCTATGCTCCATAGTTTTTTCATCTTTCTAGGGTTTTTCATGTAAAAATTTGATTTTTCTCTTCCTGTATATTGCTATTTAATTACCTGAGTTTGTGTTGGATTTCGTGTAACGCTAAGATGATAATTCATCTCTCTATCGTCGTGGATCTTCTAACACGTCTTAGTTTGACACTTTATGTGAAAACAAAGTCTTGTTCGAGGTCTTCAAGTCTTGAGATTTCGAGCCTCTTCATTGTTTCCTAGTGATATACATATACATCATCAACAGGCGAAGGAACCTCTGTTCCACATTGTAAATATTATTTTTGAAGCATTCTTCGATGTGAGGGACAAGCTTCACCATAGTCTTAATAGATTGTTCACATTAACGCCTCGAGTATGATTTTAGTGGGGTAGTCTTCCAACATCCTATCCACACACAAATTCTATGACTTCTTCCAGGCTGAAGGACAAACTTCACTATAGTCTCGAAAGGTTGTCCCCCCCCCCCCCC